GAGATCAGGAGGATCACAGTTCAAAACCAGATCGAGCAAATAGTTCAAGAGAACTTACCTCAAAAAAAACCCATCACAAAAAAAGTACTGATGAAGTGGCTCAAGGTGTAGATCCTGAGTTCAAACTCCAGTACCACAAAAAAAAAAAAGAAATTTCAGAAAAGTTCAGTGTGATGGTTCATTTCTATAATCCCAGCACTCAAAGGCTGAGGCAGAAGGACAGTGAGCTGGAGATGAGTCTGGGCTAAATAGAGAGAACCTGTCTCAAAAAAAACAACAACAACAAAAAAGAAAAGTGGCTAGAGCATGGCTCAAGTGGTAGAGCACTTGCCTAGCAAGCACTGAGGCCCTCAGTTCAAACCCCAATACTGTCAAAAAGAAGTGAACTTTCAAGGCATACCAACCATCTTAGTTCATGTTGCCATGGTAAAGTACTACAGAGTGGAGGGTCCAAGCTACACACATTTATTTCTCATGGTTTGGAGTCTGGAAAGTTCAAGATCAAAGTGCTGGCAGAACTGGTCCTGGTAAAGGTTTCCCTTCCTGGCTTGCAGGTGGGTACCTTCTCCCTGTGTCTTCACATGACAAAAAGAAAGTAGCTCTGGTCTCTCTTCTTTAATAAGAATGGCTCCTGTGGCCATTCTCATGACCTCATCTAACTGAATCACCTCCAAAGGTCCCACCTCCAAAAACTAACACACTTAGGGGTAGGCTTCAACAGAGGAGTCAGGTGGGAGGACCCATTGGGTCTACAGCACTATCATCTTGATAATACGTGTCTCTTAGGAAAGTGTCTACTCAACACATCGCAGAAGGGGCAAAGCCTTGAGGAAGGGCAAGGCTGAGAGTGAGAAAATCCAGGCAAGAGTAGGAGTTTGGCTCAAATGATAAAAGCATGAGGTCCTGAGTTCAAACTCCAGTACTGAAAAAAACGAAGAAGGTAAAGAAAAGAAAACCATGGTAAGCAGTTGCCCTTGGAACACGTCCTAGACTGATTATTTTTAAAGTATGCAGATAATGGAACTACAAAATGTTTAACAAATCTAGGACCAAACTCATTGTTATCTTAGCACTACAATCATTCACTGTTCACTGGTTTTCACAGTTCCTGCCCCACCTATACCCCTGGTATTGTGTCTGACTCACCCACCTGAATGAGAATATAGCCTTTGAAAAACACATCTCCTGGGCTTCACTCTAGACATGCTAAACCAGGAGCTCTGACATGGAGACTGGTGTGGGAGACCCTTAGCTGTTTTGCTTTTCTTGCATTTAGTTGGTTAGTAAGGGTGCTGAGTCCTCACAGGTGCTAAGCAAGCCCTCCACCACAGAGCTATGCTCAGTTCTAACTAAAGGCTTTTAGATAAACAATGTCCGGATCCTAAGAAGCAGAGGTGAGATGAAAAACAATGCTTCAAAACCTTCACTGCACAGTGAGAGAGTGCTTCCCTAGCATATACAAAGCCCTGGGTTCAATCCCCAGCATTCCCCTAAAACAAACTTCCTGAGGTCATGATTTCCTCCACACAGTTACACTAACGCCATGGTTTCTGATGTCTGGGTGGTACATCACAAAAAAAAGAAAGAAGCTTCCCAAATTTTGCCTATGGTTTATGTGAGTCCAACCCTTCAATAACAAAAATAAGGGGGCCCAGGCAATGAGTATGTCATAAAACTAGAAATATTCAAAGGACTGTCTTTACTTGAATTAAGCTTCCTTTTTTTCATTAGAATACTGTTCTTGGGACTGGGAGTGTAGCCTATGGTAGAGCACATGTGTATTATGCACAAGACCCAGCACCAAAAGAATAAGAATAATAAAAGCGTCATAAAACTAATAGGGATAGAAGATACTAGTACATTTTCAGTGACCTTTAAAAAATTAAAATTGCTCAAACTTATTACTCTTATTTTTAAAAACTAGTCACAAATAAATAATTAAAAGAAAAAAACCTGCTGGATGTGTGGTTCAAGTGGTAGCGCACCTACCTAGCAAGAGCAAGGCCGAGTTCAAATCCCAGTACAGCCAAAAACAAACAAAAGAATTGCAGTCATACTGGACTGCAATAAAATCAACTCTAAAATCAACTTTATTACCAATGTATTTAAGCTTTCATGGAGGAAGGCTTAAACCAAAAAGAAGCAAGAAACAAGAAGGTATTCATTTGTTCACAGCATTACTACATGGAAAATTTAGCAAGTATTAATAACAACAAAACCACACGCTCCCAAGGGCAGGAATGCCTATCTGCTCTACTGCTGCTGCTGTGACCTTCGCTGGCGCATAGCAGACGCTCAACAGAACTCACTGAAATGAACAAAAATAAAACAAGTAGAAACAAAAGTAATTAGTAGCTGGGAACAACAACTAATAAAGGAAGACTTATTTGAACTCCCTGTGTGACTTCCAGGCAACTTAAAAGATTTACTCTGATTCAGGACCCTGTGTATAGCTCAGTGGTAGAGCACTTGCCTAGCATGTGCAAGGCCCTGGATTCTATCCCCAACACTGCCAAAAAATAAAAATTTATGAAGCTTTGGGATTATAGGAATTCATTTTATTTAAGAAAGAACTAGTTAGAGAGTCAGAAAAAAATTTTTTTTTCTTTTTTGAAACAGGGTCTGGCTCTGTAGCCCAGGCTGGTCTTGAACTGCAAATCCTCTTGTCTCAGCCTAAGTGCTGATTACAGGTATGCCCCACCACGCCCGGTGAGAGTCTATCTTAAAGAAACCTCTATCTGGCCTCCATAAGGGACATCATTCAAAAGCATCATTCACAACAGACCACTTTGATTATATTTCTCAAAACCCTTCCACAGTTCACTGTACTTCCAGGAAATTTATTTTTTTTAAACCATGACCTACCCATCAGTTTCCCATCTTTTATCTCTATTAGAGTAGGAGTCACGCTCTGCTCCTAATTAAAATTCAATTATACGACATACCCTTCTAAATCAAAAAGTATTTATTTTTTATGGTTCAGAAAGATACTATTTCCTTCCAGAAATTTTCCCATGGTGCCAGGTGGAAGGGAGAATACCAACCCTTTTCTGAACTATTTTAATTGGTAATTTCCTTTGCAACTATCAGACCATCCCACTTTGGGGTTGTCTACATTTGGTCTCTCCCATCATACTGTAAATTCCTTGAAGGGACCTTTGTTTTACAAGTTTGTGGTCTACCCTTTTCTCACTGTCTGATGAAATCCTAGAACCAAATACATGAATAAATGAAAGGTTGTGCTTCCTGTCTGCAAGTTCACTAATGCAACTCCAGACAACTCACAAAGCTGCAATACTGGGCACTGGACTCCGGACCCTCCTTTTGCTAGGTAAGTCCTCTACCACTTGAGCCACACCTGCAGCCTTTTGCTTCTGAGTTTTCAGGTAGGGTCTCCAGGTAACTTTGTCCCTGCTGGCCTTGAACCCTCCGATCCTCCTGTCTCCACCTTCCGAGTAGCTGGGACGTACTGCAATCCCTGAGTAAATCTAAACCCACATCTACCCATTGCTATATCTGCTCTGAAATTTGCTGCACATCTACACCCTTCCTTGCGATTCAAAAGCCAGTTTCAGAAGAGCCCTAATATAATGTTATTAAAACATTAGGGGATTTCCCAAAGATATCAATGCTTAGATGGAAATAAAAGCTGCTGCAGGAAGGTTGTGAACAGAGGAAGAGCAAAGCAGCTGCTGTGGAAGAAGGAGATGGGCAAATGGCCAAACTGCTCTTTGCTTGCTCTCTGAAGCAGTTTACTCACATTCCTAACAAGAACCTGAACTGGACCTGCTCCTTCTTAACACCAGCAGAGCCAGCAGTGACATAAGCCCATTAGGATATAAGCAAGGAAGGAGGGAAAGAGAAAACTAGAGGTACAGAGGGGAGGTGCTGTCACCAGTGGGTTATGAGTATCACTCCCCAGTCGCCTTCTGCAGAGACAGACTAGAAGTCTTTCTGGACTCCAGAATCAAAGTGCAAGTCCATAATTAACACTTCCTTTCTCCTCATCCCCATGTTGATTCTGCACTCAAAAGAAGACCCCTGGACCAACAGAGTCAGCTTTCCACGCTGCTCCTCTCTACTTTCATTCCTTTCACAAGTGGTTGGTTACTGAGCAAGGTACACAATCAGGAACCCATCACGGCCCCTAAGCAGTTCCCAATTCAGTGTAATTTAAACATCAGTCTTCAAAGGAATTTAGAGAACCTATCCCAATCCCGGGTTAGTCTGGCATTCAGCATTTTCAGTCAGCAGTAAGTACCTCACACAAATCTTGTGATAGAAAAACCACACTAATAACGCAGATACAAAACACGTTTAAAAGTTATGAATAGTTTTTCAACCTCAGGATTAAGGACTTTTTTTTTGGGGGGGAGAGGGTGCAGTTTTTAAACCTTCCCACAAACAAGGCACAAGCAAAAGGTCTGAGAGGTGACCTCCTAGCAAACCTTCTGTGGAGGTAACCGGTGGCGGCAACCAGATCACTTGGGGGCATCATCGGAGAGTCCCAAGACCCAGGATGCACTGGGATGGCTGGGCACCCGCGCAACAGACCTTAATTCTCGGTGACTGGCGTGTGCAGCAGGGTTGTCACTCTACCCTTGAAAGCACCCGAGGGGACTGGGCTTCCTGGCCCCTCCACCTCCACCACCCTGGCTCCGACGCACACAGGCGGCTAGCAATGTCCCAGATTCGCGTTTCAAGGCTCTGGAATGCCATCCTGTGCCACCTGGAGGAGGCTGCAACCGTCACTCGTCTTAACCACAGCATCTGTTGACATTGCACCTGTGCGGGAACCGAGCCGGGCCGGGTCGGAGGCGGGGGAAGCCCTTCGCACCACCATTATCCACCTGGCGGGGTCCTGAACTCAGGCGCAGAGCGTGCAGCGCGGTTCGGGGACCACCCTCGGGCGGGGACACAAAGGTGGCGGCGGGCGCGGGCACCGGCCGTTCCAGGTGAGGCCGTGGGAGGGGGAGCGCCCCGAGGGACCCGGTACTCACGCACGTGCCGCCCAGCTTGTGGCTCTCCACCACCGCGGCCCTGGCGCCTAGCTCCGCCGCCCGGCGCGCGCTGGCCAGCCCGCCCGAGCCGCCCCCGATCACCAGGTAGTCGTAGGAGGCCTGGACGTCGGCTGCGGGCGGCGGGGACTGTGGCTGCAGCTCCTGCTTGCACGCCATGGCGCGGGAGACAACGCGCCGGGGGCCGGAGGGCGCGGGCCGATGCAGCTGGAAGCCGGTGGAGGCGCGCGCCGCCCGCCGCAGGCTCGGCCCCACGCTCGCGCGCGCGCTCACCACCCGGGGCAATAAGGCCATGCGCGCGGAAGTGCGCGCCGAGGGGGGCGGCGGGGTGGGCGGGGCCCGGGGAGGGGGCGAGCCGGCGAGCGCAGTCTCACGGTGACTAAGCACCCGCACCGCGCCGGGAGGGAGGGCAAGGGTGGGGAGGGGAGGGGGGCACGGGGCGCGGCCCCGAGGGGGCGTGGGCGCGCGGGGCCCAGCCTGCGGGACTTTCGTCCCGCCCTCATCCCAACGCCTGAGGTGGCAGACTGAGGCTCCAGAAGCCATGCAAGAGAGTACCCACCCGGCCTTTCCCCTGCCGCTGCGCTCCTCCGGAGGAAGGGAAATTTGTCTTGTTTTGCAGGTTGAAGTTTCTCCGTTTACCCCCGAGACCACCTAGAGCGCTGATTCCTAACTTAGCCCAGATGTTCTGATTCACAGTGCTCGGGAGCAGGGTCCCCGCGATCTACGTTTTAAATCCACTCTCTCCTGCCTTCAGCTGATCCGCTAATAGGTTGGATCGCAATTCCGAGTTTTGTGACACAGATGAAGCCTAAAGATAGGGTGGAGATGGGAGACACAAAAGCATTCCCTTCCCGAGCTTCAGAGACTAGGGCGTCCTTTTGGAATTCAAGAACTACAAACTTCGAACTTGCGTCATGATGAACCAAGATCCCTGCCCTTCGCACAAGGGGCAGTATACAGGTCACTTAAGCACTAGGCTCAGAGTCCAACAGGCAAAGAAATGAAGGTTCGCCCACAAACCAGCTATGCCGAGCACGCTGAGGGCTAGGACAATCAACTGCCTCCATTAGAATGGTTTTCCTTTTTTTTAAAAAGTTTTTTCCCCTTGATTAAAAAGTAATGTGACCCTCTGTTTCCCTTTCCCATCCGATTTGAACGCTGGTCTTCATAATCATAAAAGGACGGAAAGTGATGGTGACGCTGGCCTCAGAGCCTTGCAATGATACGGCATGTGCGCTAGTTTCAAACACGATTGGGGGAGGAAAAAAGAAATATGGAGGAAGAAGGGAAAGTTCTTCTTTCTAGCAGACTGCGTTGTAATAAATGTAGAAGGAACAACAATTAGAAAATCACCATTTTATAGCTATCAGTGAAAACTGCTTCATCAGGTACCATCAATGAATGTTAAAAGCACAGGGTGAAAGTTTGATGGGGAAAAGTTTATATATACAGTTTCAGAATATGTTCCCACAGACTGCTTATTGATCACAAAGAGAAAACGACTACTTCACAGTGAGCCAGGCCCTACCTTGTCCAATGATCAAAGTTAAACATTGCCAATAAGGATACAGGGTCATTGTTGTGCCCCATGATGTGAGCCATTAAAAATACACAACTTCACTTAGGTAAGTTTCCTGCTAAAAAGTCCATAACCTGAACCCAATTATGCTGCAACACTCAGAAAAACCCAACTTGAGGGAGATTTTACAACTAGCCCCAGCACTCTAAAAACGTTTTGAAAGCAAGGCTTGAGGAACTATTCCAGATTAAAGAGGGTGGAAGAACAAAAGGCAAGCAGGATGAACCTGATAGTAGTGCACATGTGTGAAAACCTCAGCACTGGGGGCTGAGACAGGAAGGAGAGGCAACATTGCAAGACTGTTTCAAAACAAGACTAAATAAATAAATATGCAAAATCTAAAAAATGAGGCTGATTAAAAAGAAGATGATAATATCATACCCGGTTTAAAAAAAAAAAAGGATATGAACGTACTGGTTTTCTTTTAGTTTTGGTGTTTTGGGTTTTTCTGTTAGTTTTTTAGCAGCACTGGGGTTTGAACTCAGAGCCTTACCACTTGAGTCACATCTCCAGCAAGGAGATAAACATGTTAAAGAAATCCTGGTGTTGGTAGCTCACGCCTGCAATCCTAGCTACTCAGGAGGCAGAGATCAGGAAGATGGCAGTTTGAAGCCAGCCTGAGGCAAATAATTCAGGAGACCCTATCTCAAAAAAAAAAAAAAAAAAAAACCCAATACAAAACAGGGCTAGTGGAGTGGCTAAAATGGTAGCGTGTCTACCTAGCAAGCATGAGGCCTTGAGTTCAAACCACAAAAAAAAAAAAGTTAAAGAGAAGAATAACACAAAGTAGAGGAAAATGAGTCGTGGCACTGAAAGTAAGTAGAGCAGTACAGACTGGGTGGACAGGAGGCATCCTGGAGGGGGCTCCTGGGTTGGCTTGTTGCTCCTCCGGTAATAAAGTCACTGGAGATTTCTTACAACTTCCTTTCCTTGGGGATCTGTGAAGTGAACTGGAGAAGATGTAACTGGCAGTATAGGAGGCAAAGGTAATAGGAGGCACCACAGAGGACAGACAAGAAGGAACAGAGCCCAGAGAGCTGCACAGGTGTTCCGGAGGATCATGGTTTTGAGGTCAACCTGGGCTACACAGGAGGTTCCAGGAAAGCCTTGGGCTGCAGAAAGCGTCCCTGTCTCAAAACACAAGCAAAACAACAAAAAAGTAACAGTCAGATTTATGGGGAGAGTGGAAGAGTCAAAGAGGACAAGTCTTGAGCCTGGACAAATGGGAGAAGAATGTCATGAAGAAAATACAAGATGTGAGTAGGTATGTCTCTGCTAGTATTAATGGATAAAAATAGTTTTATCACCTAATTGTATAATCTCATGCAATATGTCGAGTCCAAAGATTTTTCATTTTATCTTCTGATTCAGATGGGAGTGGACGAAGCACTTGGAAACTTTCAGGTTATAGCTAAGCTTTCTCTTCAAGCAAAGAAAGATCAGCTGAAAGTAAAAATTTAGTGTAGTTAGTAAGAAGTAGTTTCAGGGTTAAATACTCAGAATGAAAATCAATTAAGTTATCATTCAAGTGCAGGAATCTTTTTGTTTGTTTGAGACAAGGTCTGTCCATATACTCTGCTAGCCTGGAACTCAGTCCTCCTACCTCTGCTCCTTCACACCCTGCTTAAGTGTGCCAATCTTAATAACATCATTATAAACAAATATATTTGTAAGAAACAGCAGAGCCCCAAGCGTGTTGAATTCTTTCACATTTTAATAATGCCATCATTAAAAATTTTCATTCAAACACTAGACAGGTGATTTGTATAAAGATACTGTCAATTTCTGAAAAAGAGGTTAAAATACTTGCATGTTATCACCTCCTCAACCTCTAAAATAACTATCTGATTTAGAGATAAAATAAATATCTGATTTAGATGGGAAGATTAACAACTGGTGAATGACAGAGCAGAAATTCAAATACTAGAGGACTAATTCTAAGACCTAATCTTTTTTCCTTTTCTCTTAACTGTAACAAGACAAAAATCATCCTAGAGTGTGTCTTATGGTAAAAACTTAAGATGTGTGTGTGTTCTTTGAACCCAGGGTGTGAAGCATGCTACTTAAGTGCTCCATCATTGAGCTACACCCCCAGTCCAAGCTCCAAGTTTTCTTAAATGACATTTTTTCTGGCCGTAGTGAGGTTTGAACACATGGCTCACACATGTTAAGCAAGTTCACTACTGGAGCCACACCTGCAGCCCTAAATGACATTTTTTTTGGAGGTACTGGGGTTTGAACTCAGGGCCTCATGCTGCTAGGCAGGCACTCTACCACTTGAGCCACTCTCCCAGCCCCATTTTTTAAAATGACATTCTTTTTAGGAGAAAATGTTGACTATTTTTATTTCTTTTAGGTAGAAAAGAATTCTATATAATTCTTTTCCACCCTCTGCATTTTTTCTGTAGCATAACTTGTAAGAAGTATACTCCTGAGTCATAAGTGACGGTTACTATGTGTTGGGGTTACAGGTCAAGAGCTATTATGTTAGAAAGAAAGTGGTAATGACACCTCTATAAAAAATCTGAGAAGTCTCTGTAGGAAATAGTGTTATGCAAAGTAACTTGCACATACAGGTTGCTCAATAAAATCCATTTCTCCAGTTACATATATGAAGATAATCATAGTCATTTAGGAGAAGGATAAAATAATATGAGAAAAAGGAATAAAACAAATACTACTCCAGCTGGGTGAGGTGGTACATACCTTTAGTCTCAGCACTCAGGAAGCAGAGGTAGGAGGTTCAAAAGTTCCAGTTCAGCCTGGGTTACATGATACCCTGTCTCAAAACACAAGGATGGGGGATATAACTCAGTGGCAGAGCACATATCTATCAAGAACAAGGCCCTGGACTGGAGCCTTAGCATTGAAAAATAATATACATGAGTTCAAAACCCAGTACCACCAAAAAAATACACATACATGTATATGTACACACACACACAAATATATTTGTTTATTTTAAACAATATAATGATCCTAATTTAATTTATTTATTTGCCGTACTGGAGTTTGAACTCAAGGCCTACACCTTGAGCTACTCCACCAGCCCTTTTTCATAATGGGTTTTTTTAAGATAGGGTCTCAAACTTTTTATTGGGGTTGGCTTTGAACCAAGATCCTTCTGAGCTCTGCCTCCTGATTAACTAGGATTACAGGCGTGAGCCACTGGTGCCCAGCTCAATTTTATTTTTAAAATTGTACAATCTTGGTATCTAATATTGAGGACCACAATAAACACTGAAGAGACAGAAAACAACTAATTTGTAAAAATTACAAAAAGCAAATTGTACTACATTCAAAGGAAGGATGCAAGTCTGCTTTGTTGGGAAACAGGATTCTAAGATGCATCTAGAGGAAAATTACATGTGCATTTAATCCCTTTCACGCACTTGGTGTCTAATTGCTTTGGTAATTTTTTTTGGTGGTATTTAAGATTGTTGAACTCAGAGCCTTGAGCTTGCTGGCAGGTGCTCTATCACTTGAGCCATGCCTCCAGCCCTCACTAATGTGTTTCAAAAGAGAAAGATGGTAGGAGGTCATAAAAAGCTTTAGAAATGGGGGGGGAGTTAAAAAAAAGAGTGATAGAGAGGGTGAATTTGATATGTATGTATGCAAACATCACAACAAAGTACCTTTTTAACAATTAGTGGATGCTAATAAAAACAAGGTTTAGAAGTAACACAAGCTGGGCATGAACACCTGTAATGTTAGC